TATCGTTTGGTGTTATCAAATCCGTTTGATTGTCTATAGACTTCTATGCTAAAAGCTTTTCGAAAAGCAATCCCTACTATCTAATGATTGTCATTACTCCTCGCCTTGACTTGGCAGGAGGTCGTACGAAAATCCTGAGTTATACTTCAACTATACCAAATCATCGGCCAAAAGTGTGATCTCCTTCGAACAAGACCCTGCCAATCTCACCAACTATCCGTTGAAAACCCTTCTGTCGCTGTCCAACCTGAAAAGCTGTCGTCCTGATTCATCAATCTCTCAACATAATGGTAGTACGAATTACCAGAGTGCGTCTCCAAAGGCATGAAGGCGCCAAGCGCTGCAGACTGCTGCGACTCTTGCAACCGGCGGTAGTCATATGGTCCAATCGTCCCAAACGATGGATGCGGAGGGTGTTCGAGGTCGTTTCCGCACAACATTTCATTTGCTTCCGCAACAGGGTCTCCGGGATGATAGTCACAAAAGACGTCCAGGGCAAACACCCCACGCTTCAGGTCGTCGAAAAGCGTGTTTGTGACTCTGACGGGTATCGCTTCTATTTTGGCACGCATCTTCTCCGTGATGCTTTGGGCTTTTTGACGCCTCCGTCTTTGACGCGCACTCACTTCCTCCTCCATTCGTTCGAGCAGATACAGAATCTCCTTCTCAGAAGAAGCCACGGCAACCGCGTGTTCCATTCTGGACGTAAGTTGTTGAAGCTCTTGAGAGACAGCGCGAAAGAGCGCATCGACCTTATTTAACGCTTTCGCGACGTGAGAACAAAGACTTCGAGCGAGTGGTCTCTGGTATACCCGCGCCCAAAATGACATCCAGTAGGAAAATCCAGTCCGGGACTTGCGCAGGCGTGTCAATTCGAGGGTTATGATGACATTGCGACACAAAGCGAGCGTATGCAAAGCCCCGTCGCGAGTCTCTTCCAATGTGACCAGACGTTCAGAGAGGGCCGATTGGGGCCTCTCAGGACCGACCTCCTGGCTTTCATCCTGTCTGTCCAAAGAGCCGTAGAATCGCTGTGACCCATCGATACTCTGTGATGCTGCAGCAAATGATACCGGCTGGTATTCTTGGCAAGTCTGCTGATGTTGATCGCTATGCCCGAGGCCGACGATTAGATCACTCTGCAGATCAGCTTGCGACATTCCAGTGCCGGAAGCTGTGTCATTCCCCAAAAGGTTTGGAGGCTAAAAGGAGATGGAATATAATCCGATGCTAAAGATGATGAAACGAGGGGCAAAACCAAGAACCGTTCAACGGGTGTGTCTCTAAACGAATGACTGTGACCGACTATGCCAGGGAAAATGATGGAAAGTACGATATTGGAGAAAAACGTCTGAACGAGCGTATATGGACGAATGAGTGTAGTTGAGGAAGCAAAGTTCCATCATGAGGAACGAGCAACCACCTGTGACATCCTGGCTACCTGGGATGGAATATGGAACTCAAGTGTGGAAGGAACATCGAAGGGTTTCCGCTGATGCGGGTGGCGCTCAAGCGATTGCAACTGGGATGGAGGACAGACCGATGCATCCGGGCCTTCTTGCATTACAGTAAGCGATAAGCTTGCATCTTTACTTATCCAGTCAGGCGGGTCCCTCCCATGGGGTGGTATTAATCTCCTTACTATATGGGCTTGTCTTTTCCGACATTGATATTGTTTCCGCTTTCGGTAATCATCGAGCATGTCACCGTTACCATTGTCATAGTACCTAAGTGCCTCCACACGGCATTGTAAGAATCGATCATAGTTTAAGAAACAAGACGAGGGATTTTGAGAGCAGGAATGAGCTCCGTCGAGAAGAGTATATCACTGGCAATTGACTTTGCCTTGGCACCTGAGATTAGGTGCTAGAAGGAGAACAGGGGGTGGGAGAAGTACAACTATATCATATCATCCTTTGCAGCTTGCAAGGATGATCACGATCGGATCTGGCAGATCAAGCAGGGACTGGATAGATTCAAGCTTCGGTAATGGCATGGCTATTAGATACATGCGATTAGGTTGATTTCCCCTGAGCTCTGGCTTCTCAGCCTCCAATGCAGGGTCACCGACCCCCTTGCAGGGAAACACGACCGACTCGAGAATGTCAATCAACAAGAGGATCGAATAGCACTATAATTCTGAATTTATTCAAGGGGTTGTTTATTCATCATTAGAGTGCACAATTGATCGTAGGAGCCGGAAGCCGGTAGTTAGTTGGGCTCTTTTCCAAGTTGCATACTGAGGGGAGCGGTCTATAGCGAGGCTGCTCGTTCACTAGCTTGAGCCAGTGAGAGACAATCAAGCTGGACATATTAGTCGACGGAGATCCTCCCTCGTTGCTAATGAACATGCTGCAGGCAAGATCCCCTTCGCAAGCAGAATGGGTCATGGCTGCTTATGGCATCCAAGTCCCGAAAGGTGGAAGAGAATGAGATACTCATATAGGAACGCTTGGGGTAAACATCGATCATCTCAGCCACTTATGGAGGCTACCTTAAGGTACCTTATAGTTAGTTAGACCATTTGAGACCTTGCAAAAGGCCTCAGCATGCTCTTTGAACATTATCACGAGTAAATGCACATTCAAATCTCATTCCGCAAGTTTAGTTGAGTTTGCGTTGCCGAAGCACATTCCCAGAAACGACCTATGTTATACACGGCATTTGTTGATTGGAATGCGTTCAGAATGTACGACGCGTGTGACAAATACCTCTTGTTGTTTTTGCATAAATGAAGTGATTCGGCAGCTCGCAATGATCCCGTGGTCATCATCTCGAAGTCCGATTCTTCAGTCGTTCTTTCCGCGGGATTCATAGTCCCCACCTCCTTGCTACTTCGTTCATCAGTGAGATATCATCGCCGGTATAAAGAAGGAGTCTTTGGACTCGAAGTTTGTGTACTCGACGACTCGAAAGGGCTCCAGTCAATCGTGCCTGCCGCTGGTCTTCAGGTGGCGCCCATATACCATCTACAGTCCGCCAGGTTGCTGTTCTCGAATCCCAGTGCCGTCTCCGAAGCTCAGAATTTCTGGTTCATCTGCATCTTTATGTGCATTAGACTCCATTCAACTATTTAGCTGTGCTCTTGCTCTTGTTCTTGCTTCGATGTTGGTGTCTCCCCACCCCGAACAGGACTAATCGCTGGCGTCTAATTCTGATAGCGTTACAAATCACGATGTTTTGGTCGAGGACCTTTCTGGCGACATGGGCCTGCCTGGCTGAGCTGGGCGCCGCTCAGATGCTGGCCTTCACAACATGGCCAACCCACATCTACCAGGGCAAACCAGCTACGGTGACTTGGTTGGGGGCTCCTGATGTTGTACGTAAACGCGAATGCCTTTTCCGTCAGATGATCACGCCTTACTCACCATAGCTGTGCTTAGCCTGCCACCATTTATCTGCGCAAAGGTGATGCAAACAACCTCGACCACGTCCAAGTCTTGACTACCGATGCGAAAGGCGGATCCTTCACTTTTGTTCCTGACGATTCCTTGCCCGATGGTTCAGACTATGCCTTGGAAATCCAGCAAGGCGCCGAGGAGAACTATTCTGGACTGATGACACTTGGGAACCCTGGCAGCAAGCCTCCGAGTCCTCCGAGTCCTCAAAGCCCTCAAAGCCCTCAGAGTCCTCCGAAGCCCACAGAAGATGTTAAGCCGCAGAACATCTCCACACCCACCCCTCAGGATGACGCCTCACCCCATCACGGCACCGACACCTCACCTGACGACAACTGGGAAACAGAGGTCGCCAAGGGTAACAATGCCCAATTCACCGATGTTGAAGATATGTCGAAAGGATCTAACTCAAACTTCACTCACGGCAAGAGCGCAATGGCGGCTAAGTTAGCAACCAGCGGAGCTTCTATTGAAAACGTGTACCTTGGCTGGGTCCTGGCCACAGCATGCGTCTTGTTCTATGTCGCCGAATAGGGTGGGATTTGGGTGACCGAATTCGGAGCCAGGCATCCAGTCATCATTTGCCAATGCTTGAACACATTGGCTTCGGAATGCTTCTGCTTTATTTCGCTGTACATAGTACCCATTGTATTCAAAAAGTCCTGTGACGTCGGGGTGTGTCCTCAAGAAATCGGGTCATGATGGTTGTTGAATTCTGTTGTACCTTTCAGGGCAGATCAAGCACCGACCAATTGTTGGATCGACCCTGCGAGCCTCATCCACAGTATAATCATTACTGCTTTGACTGAAGAAATGCAATTGGGGATGATATGGATAATTTGATTATGAGAACAAAGCACTTCCAAGTTTATGTTTCACAATCAATGTGGGCTGTTGGACAGAAAGCTGTTAGTGTCCACTCTTAGTGGCTGGCTCTCCTCCATGGATGTGCTTTTCCTGTCCAGTTCGCACTGCTCATTCGTACCTGACCAGATTATTATAAAACCTCATCACTCATCAATTCTTGATGATAGTGATTGCTACTGCTGTTTCTTGACAGTAGTCCATTCATTTATATATCTCTTTAAGACTTATATCTTAACCTGTATATCCTTCATTTACACTCATTAAACTGTAACCAATTTCGCTCTTTGATTACTCTCTACTGTGCGCAGTTTGTGACAGTAAGTTAACCACCACTAGTTTTGAACCATTCCAGGTCAATCTCTATTTATTTGCACTGCAGCTTTGTTATGTGTCTCGGCGATGACAAAGCATAGAACTCATCATGTCAACAGTTCAGCTGGAGCTCTTTTGCATCCCATCCTTGATCTCCACAAGGGTATGTCTCCTCTTCGTCTTTTGGTCTTTATTCCCGTCGTCTCCATCCTCGATTCCCATGCATTCCGGAGCTTCGGGATCCCCGACTTGCACCTCCTTCGCTTCGCACCTTCCCTGGGCATTGGGGATAGCCTCGGTGTTGCAGGCAATTGCTATCAACATCGCCCGTACTGCTGAAGGTCGATCGCTACTGCTTCGAGCTTGCCATTCCTTACTAACACTTAGCCTGCATTCCAACYCCCCCCCCCCCCGGCCCCTATAATGGCCAGGCTGGTGCGATCAAAGAAGAATGCTGCAAGGGCAGAAAGTGACAATGCTGACCCGGAGACGCTTGCGTCACCTCCGTTAGGTTCTCCGAGACCCCCTCGTGTCAGCTTACCTCATGTGGAAACCCAGTTGAATATGCATCAGTACAATGGTTTATTCGATGTCAGCTCATCTGAATGCCAAAAGGCAACTATAGCCGTAGAGACTTCTCCGGGTAGGTCGGTCCATCTCGTGTCAGCGTGGTGATACTTGAAACTAGTTGCTCGCTTCGAATTGTTTAATGCTGATTTGTCTTTGCGCATGTTGTTAGATTCCACATCCGCGAGCCCACGTACTGCCTCGAATTTTCCGAGCGGCGATGCTCCTACCGCCGAATGGTCCTCAGCCGTTGGCCATGCGGCCACAGGCAAATCTGGCCGTGTCATCCATAACCTTCAAGAAGAAATCGCACGTTTGACTCGCGAATGCAGTGTGTATCGCTCACGGGCGGAAGAAACTCAGCGGATGAACGATGCTTTTAAGATGCAGGTACAGAACATGACCGAGCGTCTTCGGAATCTTGAGCAGGCCAACGAAACGAATCTACATTCGATCCGGCGCAAGGACAAGAAAATTGAGGAGTTACGGACCGAAATACAGAGCGAGAAGGAAAGACGACGTCGAGCAGAAGGAGAGACCGATAAGTTCCAGCAACTGATGAACGAGGCTCGTGATGAATTCCATCGAAAATGCGCGGAGCTACAAGAGATTGCCAATCACTCTCGGACACAGTACGACGTGCTTGCGAAGGCCGGACAACGTGAACGCGCAGATCAGCAGAGGAAACTCAAAGCGATACGGGATGATTTCCTCACTTTGAAAGCAGAACATGAAAAGAGAGACGTACAGCTAGAACGCCTGGATGCGGTCATGGCGCAGAAAAATCGCGAAATCGAGATAGGTAGAGAGAGATTTGATCAGCTCTTCGAGGACTACGAAGCATACAAAAAGGCTCACGACGAGGAGGTGCGGGCCTTGATCGAAAGGAACTATCAAGGCGCAGCCAACATTGATAGTGCTCTCGCCTCTCTCAAGGCGACCGAAGAGAAAATGAAATGGGCTATCCAAGTCAAGAACGAGATTAAAGATGCCCGATGAACCAGCGACCCATTTTACAGGTTCGCCTTCGAGGGATGCAGCTTGTCGGCAAAAGGCTTCGTCGATTCTGGAGTTAGCGAACTAAGATCGATCCTATAACTTATTCCGTGCTATTCCATTCTCCTACCCCTATCCCAGTCTGCGATTCACGTCCATAGCAGGCTCATTCGAACGAATGTCGCTGTCGATGTTACACGGTATGTTCGAATTGTTCTTTATACTGCTCGCAGTGAGCCTTGGCTCACGCATCTGACTTGGTGTCCCAGTTGCTTAATACTTCCTGGAGTTCGGGAGTGCTTGATACCCTAGGACATTCGCGTTTTTCCTCTCCTTGACGGTCTTTGATTAGAGTTCCGTTTTGTTTGCAAATAGACCATAATAAACACGGATACCAGATAAATGCATAGAATAGTCTGCCAAATGTGCTTTGAAGAATGCGGTTCAGGGGAGACTTCTTCTACTCTTTTTCTGGATCGAGCCCAAGGAGGTACCTACCTATAATTCACTGCATTCACAGGGAATCAATCACAAATCCTACCATATAATAGCAAGCCTTTCACTTCCTCCTTATTCTTTACGTGTCAATGAGAGAGTGAATAGGTTCGCCCTTGGGAGACTGTCCATGCCTTCACACTTTTCTGCATCTATCCGCCTACTGATAAACAATACATTCAGTGGCTGCATCTACCCTCTTGATTTGGTTTGTATTAAACAAATCAAGCACCCTATGGAATACCCATTGTCATTCACCTCTTTTCTTTTTTGTTCGCTTGTGATTCTGGTGACTAAGGAGAAATTGTTCCTCATTTGGTTTTCATACAGTGTTGCGTTCGTCTTCCTTCTTCTTTGGGGAAATCAGGAGCACTACCTTATCTTCCTACGAGCTTCGCAATATCTCTCGATTGAGCATCACTCTTCATACCTCAATTCTTTCTTTATTACCATCGGCTTACTCTTGCTTTCTTCGACCACGTTTCTTCCCTTTCTGAACCAACCTCAGCTAGTGCGGGCACTGCTGTTTCTGAAGTATTGACACAATGGCGACGAAGCAAAGACTGACGCTCGCCTCCATGTGGGCATTCGAAGCTATCGGGGTGAGCTGATGATTGTAATGACGGGATGCCAATGAATTCTCTGCTGACCAAAGTATGAACAGGTTAAGGAGGTAGAGGTAGAGGTCAAGTGTGTATCGACCATAGCACGCATGCTTGTCATTCAGCTGACACAACAAAACCAGGAACACAATCCCTCAGGTTGATTCGCTCGAATATTTCCAGACAGACGATGTTGGTTCCCATGTCCTTTCACAACATCGTACTAACCGGGATTTCCAATAGGTACTTGTGACCAAAGGCAATGTTGAGAGCTTTATCTCAAAGGTGGCATCTGCATTTGCCGGCTTCATCGAAGAGCAGAAAGACAAAGATCTCCTAGACGTAAGCCATTTCCTATTTCTTTGCTAATCGGACTGTGGAGAAGTCAAGTAGGTTTATACTAATTATCGTTTTATTCAGATGCCACGAGTGCGTCAACTGGATGTCCCTGCAGTGCTTTCTGACGAGGGGCTTCCGGCCATGGACTCACCTGAGAAGCATCAAGGGGCGAGTCTGTTAGTCCTGGACGATGATTCCGACGAAGATATCGTTCCTTACTCGAGAAATCATGCCATCAAGTTCTGGAAATCTCCTAACGGAGGTTTGGGTTGCTTTTCCAACAACTTCCATGATGTCCTAGCAGGTGTTGCCACTGCCACAGGCACCGAAATCGCAATAGTGGATGAATTACAAGGCATACGGGTTTCCGGGACCACCGAGGATGTGGACGACGCTCTGACGAAGCTTATTCAAATTGAGAAACCCTTGGTCAGTAGGCGTGCTGCTCAAAACTTGTTCTTATGCTGACAACTGACGAGTGTTTATTAGTCCTTCTCTCTCGCTCCCAACATCACAAACATCATGATTGTCCCACACAAGGACGGCAGCCGCTTCCGCATCCAGAACTACAGCAGTGTGAATCCTGACGCTCCCCGTCGTGTTCTAGAGGATCCAAAAATGTGTTCCAACATTGACTTTGGTCGAATGTGCGTCACCGTGGGTCTGTCCTTCAACAATGATTCTCAAGTGTGGACTATACCCGATAATCGACTCAATCCGCCACCCATCAGCGAGGAAGCTGGGCCATCTCGCATCTGGAATGATTTTACCTTCCAGGAGATTGGGAAGGCGGACGAGTTTGTTGACATTGAATCAATAATCGAGAATGATCCCTCAAACCCTCAGACTTTGATCTCTGGCATTGCACCTCCCCATCCTTTCCTCACTGCAGACAAGGCCAAGCAAGTCAACCAGTGGGTTGTGGAAAGGGCTGAGATGCAGCCAACCGAGCATGGACCCGAGCCCGAGCCCGAGCCCGAGTTTGAGCTTGAGCTTGAGCCTGATTTCGAGCTCCAGCCCGAATGTGAGCGCCGCGACGTTCTCCAGCCTGAACGCAAGCGCGAGACAGCAATTGCTCTTCAAAGCAAAAGACCACCTGGAATGAAGACGCGAAAGGCCGCAACAACGGCCAAAGTTGAAGCGCCACCCGAGCAACCTCAAGCAAATGAAGCCAAGCCTGTGGTCATCGGTCTCACGGAGACTACTGCCACCCCCCGTAAGCGTTGGACTATGCTGTACAGTTCCGGCGCGGAGGATGCAACTGCTGATGACAGTGACGCACTTAACTCTGAAAGTTCGAATTTAAACGATATGCTCGAGCTTCCTGGCGATTTGCTGGTCTTCGCGAAGCCCCAAACCCCAGAAAACAAAGTACGCCTTCCCGACAACTTCGACGCTGGCAAGTATGGTCTCAACCAGTCTCTACGCCAAACCCCTAAAGAGAAAAGTTATAGTCCAAGCTTCAAAAGGATTATGCCGGTCAAGTCAAAGAGGAATCCAAGCAACCCTAACGAGCTTATTGACGTCTTTGAGCCCGCGAATAATGCTGTAGTTGGCACTCTCTCTCGAATCCAGTTCAATCAGCCTCCATTAATTCCTGACAGCTCGGTCAATGCGTATACCACGAACACCCGAAATATTTGTTTGCAGGAGATGTCTGATGCGAATTCTAAGAACATCAAGAGCGGACTTCCAAGCTGCAGGATGGACCATAGCATTCCTTCTGGTTCCGGCAGCACCGAATCTATTTTCGGCCGTGCAGCACCAGGTGACGAAAATCTCCAGGAGCAGGAAAATAGATTATCACTTCTGAAAAAGTTCCTTCAAGAGCGGACAGACAAGGTACCCCATCCCGGTGGTCATGGTCAAACACATACCTCCAGGTATGAATTCAACAAGCTGCTGGTGAAGGAAAGCCTGGCAAAGCTTGAAACTGTCCATCGAGACCAAGATAGACAAGGATCTGATGAAACAAGCACCAGAGAGTTCTATCGTACCATGGGTCACAAGACGGCAAAGCCGACAAATAAAGCCAAGAGCAAATCTGAGATTAAAGCGAAAAGACAAGCCACGCTTGAGGATGCTTGGGGATTCTTCAAGAAGCCAGTGAAGAAAACTCCGGCAGATGCGCAGACACCAATGCCGAGAGGTACCCAGAGGAGCGAAAGAGCGGCCCTCAATATGGCTGGGAGCAGAAAGAACGAGCTGGCTACAGAGTTAGCAGAAAATAGCATGACTCAAGATGTTGAGAATTTATTTGAAGCCTCGAAGCAAACATTGGAAGCTGCTGAATACTTTCAAGGATCTCTGAACTTGGAAGTTCAGCTCGGACTGATACTGATACCGCTTCTGCCAAAGACTTGTAGTGAAGGCTCGACCGTCTCTTTGACGGAATGGACGAAGATCTTCCAGTCACAAACTGGCATTCCCTCTCCGACAACCAAATTTATTAGCCGACTTACGACCTCTGGCATTGATATTGATTATCTGGTTGATCTGAAGACATCTACACCTGAAGGGAAAAGGCGCATTTTTGAGCAGGACTACAGCGAATACAGCGTGTTCTACGAATTCCACTGTCGCACTCGAACCAGTCAGATGCTCGCCATATCTGTGGATGAGCAAGGAAAATTTAACATCAAAAAGCCCACCGTTGCTCTTGGTGCTGTCAATTTGCACTTTCCACGCCAGGTCTGGGATGCAAGCGTCGTTCTTAGTGGTACCCCAAACGATGCAGCTGTTGACCGAGAGTTCGAAGAGGCGGCGAAGTACCTCATCGACCACCTATGGGTTCAACCAGATACCTCACTTGTTCAGATCTTCACGCGGCTCCCTCCAGGCGACAAGATCACGATTGAGAAAGTCTACATGAAACGTTGGACTCGTCATCGCTTCGTTCGTCCTCCGAAGAGTATCATTGCCGCCAAGCGGGCCAGTCATATCAGGAGCAATAGTGCTATGACAGCGGAGACTGACTTGAATAGCGATTCCACTGACAAGAGCCAGTCATCCGCAGAAAACGAAGCAGAGGCTATGGAGAATCAAGATATCTTTCTTCAAGTCATGGAAGTGCAAGATCTATGTGTTGGATCCTGTTCGTCCGACGTTCGGGCGGTGACAGCCTGCTGTGCTTCGCTGCCTGAGATGACAGAAAACGGCCGCCAGTGGTATGAAGCGTCTCTTGTAAGCTCGGCTATCGAAGCCATTCTGAGTACGAATGCGAACCTTGAAATTGGAGAACGAACTGACGAATGGCGGTGCTCTGACCTGCTGGGAAGAGATGCCACCCTTCTTCATGGGAATGCGAGTGAGTCCTGTGGTCCAAATACAACACTCAGCCCCGTCTCTAAAGCCATTGGCATTGCTGGCCTCGGAGATCTTCTGCGGTTGACAAAAACTGTTGTCGAGAAAATGGACGGGGTCGGATTCTGGAACAACGGTCTGAACCATGATTCAGTACAGGCGCCGTCGATCGCCGGCTCGGTTGGCACTCTAGATCAGACGGTTCGACTTGAGCCAAGAAGCTTGGAATTCGATGATTTAGAAAGCGTCAAGGAATTTGGAAGC